GGGAAAGAGGTCCAGGAAGACCATCCCTGTGGGCACGTGGGCTCCTCTTGCTGGAAGCCCTGGGAAATGGTTTAGAGAATACCTAAGGGGTCTCCTCCCCAGGGGCAAGGAAGCTACGGCTTCACCCACCAGCTTCTATTTGTTCTTGGGTGGGGCGTTAGTGCCCCACGTGAGCCAAGCAGCTCCGGCAGCCAGAGCAAGCCTTCAGGGAGGGTCCCGCTTGCAGTGTGAGCCCTGGGACAGGGCTGGGGCCCTGCCAGCCCCTGCTGCGCTCTCTGGGAAGGCTGGGCAGGCAGCCTCACTAGCCTGGACACAGGGAGAACCAGACCTGTGGTGTAAAGAGAATCCAAGAGGAGAGGCTACCGGGTTTGGAGGGAGGCCCAGGGGAAGGGAAGGTTGTAGAGGCCGAGGCCGACCAGAATCCTGGGCTGGCTTTTGTGGTGGGAAGGAGCTATGCCGACTATCAGAGGGAGGTCTGTCCCGAAGGAGCATTTTGGTCCCAGGCCCTTTAGGAAGCCAGGCCACACCAGGGCATGTGTTCTAGGCAGAGGCAATGCTACACCTTATGTTTGCCCAGCCTTCCCCCAGAGTAGAGTGGACGCCATTTCATCGGGTTACCAGGTGAGTCAGGGCCTGGGGGATGGCCTAGACCACACTAAGGGATCCCGCCTGGGCCAGAAGGGAGAGACCCCTAATATCATAGCAAATGATCCCGGATATTGTCAGAAAATGTCTCTCACCTCATGACCTGGCTCCAAAGTCTCCACTTCCAGAAAGCCCTCCTTACTTTGACTGTTCTCTTTTACTCTGTCTTTTCCGGAGCTCACGGTGTATTTATTCCTTGAGAACATGTACCTCCTCTCACCTAGATGCCCAGTGGTTCCTCCTTCCATTCTACCTTGCCATCCGCCCTCTTCATATATCCTGTGTATGGCATGGTTAAAAGGGCTGTCCCTGGACTCAGGCTGTTCACAGTCAAGTCCCACTTATTGGCTATGAGACCCGGGGAAAATAAATTAGCTTTCTCATCTCAGTTTACTCATCTGTAATATGGAAGCAACCATACCCACTTCACAATGTCCCCATAAGGAGTCAAAGATTTAATATTTATTTAGCACGGTCCCTGGTACATAGTAAATGCTCAATAAATATTAGCCGTAGTAATAATGGCGATAACAATAAAGGCTCCTGATGACAAATGTCTATTCTTTTCCATTATTTACAAACTAAAATACAAATTCCTGAGCATTCAAGGTTCTGCAAGGCTATTTCTTTCTCACTTCCCGGTCACTCCCAATTTAGTCTTGCCCTTCCCCTCACCTCCTTCTGTCCTTTCCCTGGGCCCATCGTCAGTTGATTTCCCGGCTGCTGAGGTCAGGATGCGTGCACCTTGATACTAAGCCCCAGACAGTGCCTGGAAGTATTTCTAAAAGGAATAGGTGATACTCTCCTTGGCACCGGTAATGAATCACCTTGCTTCTCCGTAGTGCCAGAAACACCTGGCATGGGACCAGGTGCCTGGAGCATCAGGTCACACACAGCGAATGGATACGTGGTGGCTGTGGCTTCTGCCACGTCACTGTTTTTTTACGGGTCCCATTGCTGAAGCTTTTCAGGAAGTACTGAATTTTTCTAACCCTTCTATATCATCCCCATTCCACAGATGGGAAAAATGAGGCCGAGAGAAGTTAATAACTTGCACATAGTCGCATGGCCGATCGGTGGCTGAGCAGGAGTGAAGCCACGTTCATCTGGTTTGAGCGTCCTTGCTCTTGATGAGTCACCCTGTGCCACCTCTTGGTCCACGGGCCTACTTTGCCTCTCGGTTTAAAAGAGAAGCTCCTTTACGGCGTCCAGCCTTGTCCTGCTCTGGGTCTGCTCTGGGCTAGGATGCCGTTCCCCAAGCTCGGTGGGGGCCTGTCCGCTGAATCAGGCCCTTCCCTGGGCCCGGTTTGGTGGGTGAAGCACACCAAACGTCTCTCCTCCTTGACACCAAGGGCCTGGGTGGGCCCCCAAGTCCTCCTGGGTCTTGCTACTCAGAGTCTGGCTCACGGCCTCTGCCAGGCAGAGTGTGGTCTGCAGCCTCGCCTGAAACGCCCCCGCGGCCCCCATCGCGACGCTGAACCTGTTGGATCGGAACCTGCCCGTCAGCAAGACAGCCAGGTGCCTCAGAAGTGAGCACGCTGAGGTCTGGGGAGCACTGCTCTGGGTCCGTCCGGCGCCCCCTGAGCCAGACTTCGGTGTGGCCCGGCCTAACTGCGGCCACCCGCCAGGCAGCCGCGCGCACCCGCACCCGAGAAGCCTCCCGACGCGTTCTCGGACTGATCTCATGGCAAACCCTCTGCGCCTGCTTCCGGTTACCGTTCCCCTTTTACAGAAAAAGCGGTGACGGCACCCTCAAAGGCACGCCCGCAAGCTCCCCAAAGCGGCCTCGCAGCCCCTGCGCTCACTGTTCCTGGTCTTTCTGCACCACCGTTTCCTCTTTACGTTCGGGACCTTTCACGCTCTTCTCTTCCCGGCATGCCAGTCACCCAACCGGCAAAGGCTATAACTGGGTTTCAAAAAATTTCTTTGAATGTCTCTTGATTTTTCAGGTGGGCGGAGGGGCAGAGAGAGAGGAAAAGAGAGAATCCCAAGCAGACTCCACACTGTCAGCACCTAGCCCGATGTGGGGCTCGAACTCACAACCGTGAGATCATGACCTGAACCGGAATCCAAAGTCGGCCTCTTCCCCGACTGGGCCACCCAGGTGCCGCAGATAATTGGATTTCTAAAAAATACATTTACCAGCATCTTAGGCAAGCAACGTAAGCTAGTTAAGGAGGCCAGAACAGCATTCTAGTTATATTCATTCATTTGTTCACTCATTCACTCATTCACTCAACAACTTATTGAGTGCCTATTACGTGCCATGCACTGGGAATTGGTCTCAGTGAACATAATACATGCAAAAACCAGCTTAAAAAAATGGAAGTAGCTCATGGGTCTTCAGTGACATGTCCCAGACCCGTCAATATACGTCACCCACCCTCGATCCCACATCCTGCCCCTCCTGCCTTGTCCTCATGTCTACGCGCAGTGAGAGCCATTTCTGGCACAGCTCTGGGAGCGCAGCGGGCGCTCCCGCCTCCCCGGGGAGGAGTCACGCCTGTGCTTTCCCCAGCCCTGCCTTAGGGGGCTGACACCCTCTCTCAAGCCAGACCGCGGCCCAGGGGAGGGCCCCATAACGTTGGTTGGACTTCACAGCTGGAGGTAGGTTTTTAAAAGATGGCCCCGTGCCCCCTCTACGTGCCCCCCCCCCCCCCCCCCGGGCTCTGTACAGGCGTCTGTCATGACGGCTGCAACACCTCACCGGTTTCCCTTGTCTCCTTCACCAGGCTGTGTGTCCCCTCGAGGAGCGACCTTATCTTGGTCACTCATGTCGCCAGTGCCTTGCACACGGCCTGCACACAGTAAGTGCTCAGTCTGTGTTTCCTGGGCGCACGCATGCTTGTGTGACTGGATGGGAGGAAACACCCAGCCTTCTCAGTGACTGTGCCAAGGCCACCACACGAAGGGAGGCGGCCACTGCGTAGCCCCACGCCGTCCACCTACATGGTCTGGCCTGAATCTGGGTGGACGTGCCCTCCAGGGCAAGGGGAGAGGGAAGGAGGGAGCCAACACGCATGCAAGGGCCTGCACCTACCCTCCCGGCAGCCTCGGGCGGAAGCGTCTCTTACCGTGGTGTATTTACCCAGCTGGCAGAGTGACGGGAAGGTTTCCTGGTGAGCTTTTCGGATCTTCTCTGTGAGATCGTCCAGCTCAGCCGTCATCTCATAGCTTTCCGTGCATTCCTGCTTCGAAGGCTCCTTCTTTTTCTTGTTCCTATCATTCCTGACAGCTGGAAATGAGAGAGAAGGCAAACCAGGGGTCATTAACGGCCAGGCCTGTGCTGCAAGCTTCCATCTCCCGACGCTGCCTGGACTCACTTGACACTTGGAACAGGAACAGTGGGAAAAGGTGCCATGAACACATCTCCCAAGAAGAGAGGTTTGGCGGCCAGAAGGGCCAGGCAGAGAGGAAGGTTTGTCTGCGTGTGCACCTGCCAAGTAATTCTTAAAGAGTTACTTTAAGGGTCGCCCAAAAGGCTGAGAGCCTCAGTTTGTTTGGACAGAACTTTCTATGTGGACCAGTCCTCAAAAGATGGATTTTTCCAAATGCCTCCCCATTCCCTCGCACCCAGTTCCAGAGGCTCCGAGGGAACCACTCAGGCCCGGGACACATGTTGCTGAACAAAAAGCCTTGTTGCATCATGATTCGTGATTCCTAGCCAAGCCTTCTGGTTTGTTTTTGTTGTTGTTATTGTCTTTTAGTTTCCTGAATGAACGGACCCTTTTGAAGAGATTCATCTCAAAGGTGATGGGATGGTGATTTTTGTCCCTTCGTGCTTTTCTGCTTCCTAGACTTCTGGTATTCATCACATAATCTTTTATGATTATTTGCAAATACTGTATTAACGTATTACACATTGTAAACATCATATATAACATTTAAATAAAATGTTTATGATCACTTATTGTTAAAAAAAGTTATTTTAAAACAATAATCTATGCGTTGTGGGCCCCTGGCCTGAAAAACGATTGGTCCACTCATTTGCTTATTCATCTATAGTCGCTCCACTCTACATCCTGTCTGGCCCACTGACCCCTCGGCAGGTGCGGTCTTTGCCTCAGCACTTTCGCAGCTGAGCGTGACGCCAGGATGCGTCGAGTCCCAGGACCCGGGGCTGTGGAAACCCACGCTTCCCCTCGCAGCACAGAGCTCTCAGATGACTTCAAACCCGAGTGTCACGCAAAGCTCTGGCCTCGGGCTAGGATCTCCCGGGGAAGGGAACCGCAACCCAGGGAGGCCAACAGGTGAAACCAGACCGCGCAAGCCCCTCCGGGGCGTCCCCATTCCCCGGGGACCTGGGGGTGGCCAGGCTGGACACCACCTGGCCGTGTATGCCACCGCCATGACCTGCGAATCTGTGCTGCAAAATGACCCAGGTCATAATCCGATCTGCCCTAAGAGGATTTGGCTTGTGTTGCCTCCCTGAGAGCACCCGGGGTGATCTGAGAACTGGCAGCTCCCTGGGTCTACACGGTGAGGATCCCGAGGCCCCGTATGGGGCAGACTGAAATGAAGGCCTGGGGAGCTGGGGAGCGCAGCAAGGCGGAAGGAAACAGATGGGGATGGGGAGGGAGTGCGTGAACGGTACTGAAGGATCCCAGTGTCTGTATAAGTCACTTACTCCTGACCCGGAGGGAGGGCAGCCGGGGCGAATATTCACATTTCTCGAGCATCTTAAGCATTGCACTGGGAACCGTGTCCGCAGCATCTCACTTAATCCCCTGATCAGGGAGGTGATTTTAAACTCATCGTACAGATGAAGAAACTGAGTGTCAGAGAGACTGAAGAATGTTTACACAGTTGACAAGTTCTCTCTTCGCTTGGACTCACTCGCTCTTAAGGGAGCGGACACGTTTGAGGAGAAAACAATACCTCTCCAGAGGATTTTCCTCCCCCAGGACTCTGAAATGACACTGTTCTTTGGCTCAGAACATTTCCAGATTAAGGGGAGTGGTAACGACAGTGTGAAGTAACTCAGCCTCAAATGTATTACTTTTCCGTGTAGACTGGCCAAGTGCCCAGACCATTCCTAGCAGGTGTGGGGCGCAGGGGGAGGAAGACAGCATATGGTTTAAAGCAGTTAGAAAGCAAAGGATACGGTCAGCAAAGGAGGGACCGTGAGGAAAGGGGTGGCGCACGGCAGCCGAGACGCCCCCACGACGCTCCTCAAGGACGGAGTCTGGGTCTGCGAGGGGAGGCTGGGGCCTGACGCCTCGTGTGTGAGCACCACGGGCTCTCCATGCAGGTGAGCGGGCTTTCCTGACCCCTGCCCGTGACTCTCGTCATTTGCTAACACAAGAGCCCTACGTGAGCAGTGAGGGTCCTTCCAAAACAGAGCTCTAAGGAAGCAGTCTGGCAGTCCCTGGAGAAGCTAAAGAGTTGCCACACGATCCAGCAATCCCATTCCTGGGTCCACCCAAGGGAACAGAAAATACGCGTTCATGCAAAACCGGTACACCAATGTTCACAGCAGCGCTTCCCGTAAACAGCCCCGCGGTGGAAACAACCCACATGTCCATCACCTGACGAATGGATAAACAGCCGTGGCGCATCCACACGGCGGAATATCTTTGGCCACGAAGGAGTGAAGTACAGACCCACGTTACAACGTGGATGAACCCTGACAACGTTATGCTCCACGAAAGAAGCCAGTCACAGAAGGCCGTGTGTTGTGTGGTTCTACTTATACGAGACGTACAGAGAAAGCAAACCGGTAGGCAGGAGGCAGATCAGTGGTTGCCGAGGGCTGGGGCTCATGGAAGATCAGCACTGACTGCTAACGGGATTTTCTTTTTAGGGATATGTGAATGTTCTGGAATTAGGTAGTGGGAATGGCTGTACAACCTTGTGAATATACTACAGACCACTGAACCGCATACTTTAAAATGATGAATGCTACGCTCTGTGAATTATACCTTAAAATAAGGAAAAAAAAAAACCCAGCCCCCTGAGGGAGGCCACAAGTCACTGAACACCACGAACTGCTGTGACTAGAATCAGAAGCCAAGATGGCGACCTGTGACCACCCAACACAGCAGTGACGGTAATGCCACTTTTTGATTGCTTAGCAAGGGCGAGCCACTGCCTTAAGCAATTCAAGAATTCTAGTTCACTGAATTCCACCGTGAACCGGGTGAGGTAGGCATTAAAATTCCATTTCTACACTCTCAGAAGCTTGAGGCCCAAGATCACCCTCTTTGAAAGTAGTCAAGCCAAGATTTCAGTGGAATATACACAAAAGCAGACAGAGGAACCACACACACATAATTACCCATGATCACATCCCCAGGCGAGTCTGTAGGACCTTGAGAAGGATCTGCGCTTCTCAGCATTCTGCTTCACCGTCCCCCATCCACCCACAGCCCCCTGGACCATCACCTGGAAAACTCATGCGAGGAAAGCCAGCCCTGGAGGTTACCTGGGAGGTGGTGGGGGGGCACTCCATGAGCTGCCCCCACGGATCATCTGTATGTACCAAGCCCGAAAGTGAGAGGTGAGGTCAGGTGGGAAGGGGACCCTGGTGAGCTGTAACAGGGCACCGAGTGGGGGCACTCAGTTGGGTTGTGCAGACAGCACCCGCCATTTGTAAAGCCAGAGCTCCATTTTCTGCGCTTTGAGGCCCAAACTCAGAGCACTCTTACCAGCTGACTGACTGCCAGGGGACCAGTGTGTAACACCATAGGCTCCCTTCCAGACAGCTCCCTGCCCTCCCAAGGCGGAGTGCCCTTCCTACTGTCTCCATGACCGAAGGGCTACTGGGACTCTTGGGTACTCCTCTCCAACTGCAAGACGCAATGACCCTCTGGTAACGATGCTCCAATCACGGAAAGGTTCATAAGTTGATGGATGTGTCTCGTAAACACATGGCTTCAACAACTGCCTTGCTCAATGGTTTTAAACTACGGTGGATTGCAGATGTGGGATCTGGGCCACGCATGGGGATGGCTGCCAAGAGCCACCAGAGTCAAGGAGGCGATGCAGTACATGGGACGCCATGAGGGCTTGGGGACGGTGGCTTCGTCCAGTTTCGGGGGACTCGTGGTCGGCAGCACCTGGGGCAGTATGGGGCAGGGGGTGATACAGGTGCTGCAGGGGGCCAGGGACCTGGTACGGACACTGGCTTCATCATCATCCCGGGGGATTCAGCCCCTCTCAGAGCTTCCCTGAAGGCAGCGGCGCCCTCCCAGAGGTGCACGGACGTCTGCTAGGTGGGACGGCCAGTCTACCATCAAGGCTCACACGGCCTGGCCATACAGGAAGAAGAACTTAAGGCCCTTCCACGTGGAAATGGTGGGCCTGAACACTGAGGATCTGTGGGCTTTATCACGAGGTCCACGGCTGCAAGTGGCAGTGATGCTTCTCCAGAAGCCACATGGGAGCGGCCCCAAATGAACAGATGGGCTCATTTCTTCGTTTTCTGGCCATTCATTCATTCAAATGTTGTCTGAGCCTCTAGTAGGGACCATCTGCTGCAGGGAGGAAATAACAGTGGAGCCACACAGATGGTTCCTGCTACCGTGGAGCTCACTTACGGTGAGAGCCAGACATTCATCACCCGACAGCAACAGTAACAATAATAACGAGAACAGGGCATCGCTATTAGGATACCTACCGTGACTCATCCTGGAGAATTCTTACAATGTTGAAAGAGTTACTTACAGCTACCCTAGCAGCTATGGGGCACTCCCCAAAGCCTTCTACTCATAATTAGGCCATACAACAACCCGATCACTATCATTATCATGCCTATTTTGCAGATGAGACAACTGAGGCACAGAAAGCTAAGCAGCCTGCCCAAGGCCATGCATTTTAGAAATGATGTAGTGGGGATCTGAACTCAGACACCCTGGCATCAGAGTCCTCACTCTTTTTTTTTTTTTTTTTTAATGTTTATTTATTTTTGACAGAGAGAGAGACAGCGCATGAGCGGGAGAGGGGCAGAGAGAGAGAGGAAGACACAGAATCCGAAGCAGGCTCCAGGCTCCGAGCTGTCAGCATAGAGCCCGACGCGGGGCTTGAACTCACAGACCGCGAGATCACGACCTGAGCTGAAGTCGGACGCTCCACTGACTGAGCCCCCTAGGCGCCCCCAGAGTCCTCATTCTTAACCACTGTATTTGGTCATGTCATACACATTCACAGTTCTGCCACATGGTGCCATGAAGGATGGTGCATGTGTATCACTGGCGTGTGTGTGTGTGTGTGTGTGTGTGTGTGTAGGGACAAGGG